CATACACAGGTATGAGTTGGTTATATGACAGGATGGCAAATTATCACAAGCGGCTGTCCTTAACCTCAGGAAAGATAACTAAGTCAAATCTGCAGCCGCCAAGATAAGTGCTCATGCCGGAATCAGGACAAACCGAGAAGTCACTGAAGCCCGAGTCTCGGATGTGAATTCAATCATTCGATGTATTGATCTGGCGCCGGCATTCAGAGACCTGCGCAATCACCTTCTGACCCGCTGCAGTGGTCGCTGATTGGCTAATTCCTGCTAAAAGTTTCACCTGTTCTGTTACTATATTCATCTCTGACGCCGGACTTCTCCACGCACACGAACTTTCATAAAAATAAACAAATGGTTTCGATGCTCAATCGGAGGCTCCTTGTACATATACGACAGTTTATAACATTTGCGCTGCACGCCTTCGCCATCTAGGTTGGTTGGCGAGTTTGGCGTCTGAGGAGCTTTTTGCAAAACATTTGGCTATCGGTTAGCTTTGAATGAACGACAAAAATGCACTAAAATGTGCGGTGGGTGGCGGTTCTGACGCAGCGTCGGCTGTCATTTGTTAAACGGTAGCAGTAGGGCGCGGTTATCAGAATGTTTCAGGGAAGTGAAAAAACCAACCAAAAGTTCATTTTTTTACTGGCTTCACCCTAGCAGAAGGCAAATTATTTGGACGTCAGTCAGCGAAATACCGTGATGAAGAGTTCTTTAAACAGATAACTTATCATAGACGATATCATCATCATCAACTAAGAGCACGATCCCCGCCGACTCTCATTGTGGACGTTCCTTCTTGTCAATGGGGTCTCGTGTTTAAGTGATTCTTCAAATGCGACCAAAAAGGCTATGTGCATAAAAAGGAAGGGTCAAGAACTTACCACTTCGGCAGATGCTTTTAAAACATATCCTATTGTCAAAGTTTTGATAGATGCAGTACAGAACTCATGCTTTTTGGCGGTCTATTGGGAAGCATGAAGGCCATAAAGTATTTACCAGTATTTCAAGAACATTCTGAAACTCAGTGGACTTCACTGTCACCAAAAACCACGAGTTACTTTTACGGGAGGAAAGTCCTTCTGATACACAGAAAATTGTATGCTTATGTCGCATCTTTTAATTATGTTTATAATTAGTAGCCACTGACCGGCCTGTCATCAGAGGGCCCTATGGAACTTTTTCTCAGATGGCATCTTTATCGACAAAATTACACCGACTTCTCTTTACTTTTATCAGCCATCCCTCAAACAGTGCAAAAGTCAAAAATGACATCGATTTCGCACAACAATAACATGAAGCAAATGCCTGGATATTACGCATTGAACTCTGTGCTATACCTCATCTAACACTAACTGCTGGATGATATTTACTGCAAATGTTAATATAAAAAAGTACTTTTTTAAAAGTTTCGGTGCATGGGCCGTTTTATTTGGTAAGTTATTTGCATGGAAAAGCATTGCCGTTTCTGGCATTTTCACTTCTTTTATGAAAATGGGTAGTTATGATCAACGAAATAGAGCAATGATCTAGTGAAAGCCCCCCAAGTATCATCAACTAGCCACAGCTGTCTGTCTGTCTTATAGCGATTTTACGGATGGGGCATCTGGATGATATGTTAAATGCCAAAAAATAAGGAAAATGAGTTAAGTATTTCAAAGTCTGACTCAAAACTTATAATACCCTTACATATAGCAAAGAAAACAAAGCGGGAAAGTTTAAAAAGTAGACAATAGGAAACATTTGTGATGTAAAACAATTTAAGGCAACCCCTAATCACTAGTTTACATCGGGACAGGTAACCAAGGCGAACCCAACCAAAAGGTGGGTGAGGGAACCCATCCCACTCAAATTTTATGAGAGGTATTGCAATTTCCTTGAGCGCTTAGCCAACGATATCAGATCAAATCAATTTTCAGAATGGACGTCCACAAGAGTACTTAGTAAGCGATTTGCGTCATTGTTTCTGTGTGACAGTAGTTTTTTGAATGCAGTAGACGCATAAACATTTTGGTAGTTAATTCCGAGTAAGTGAAGATCCGAAGGCGTTACCTGGCGGAGTCGTGCTTTCGCAGTGCGCTATCTTTTTGTTCAATATTAAGGGTCATCGTTGACGAAAGCCAAAAGAATTGCTCGAAATCAAACACAGCACCGAAATCAACATGAATAAATAATGGAAGAAATAAATTCGGAGAAGTTAGTGGACTACTGTCAGCGAAAACGACTTCTATCGACGGCATTGACACGCAAGTGTAAAAACAAAATGAAACAGCAAGGCCGACGGAATCGCTCAGACGGTTTTGCATTTCGATGTGTCCGGTGTCGAACGAGGAGGACCCTAAGAACCGGTCTATACTTGAGAACAGCCGACTTACGATCAGCACAATTATGAAGATATGGTTGTCCTTTCTAAGAGGAATAAGAGTGAAGGAATGTGAAAAAGTATAGGCGTGGCCCATGGTCCGGCTCTTGAATAGTAAGGCGCAGCGGCAGCTTCTCGACTCTCTGAGCGAAGGTTATGTTTGGTTAGGCAACGGGAAGTCAGATGGTAGCCTCCCAATCATATGGCAAGAGTCTACGATAAACGACCCAATTCACACGATGTAGTCCTAAATGCCGCAACACGACCAATGGTAGGTAATGCAAAAGCGAAGGACATGATCCGAGATAAAGGAGTAAAGCGCAGCGGTCGTTTCTCAACTATCTGAGCTAAGGTCATGGCCGGTTATGCAATGGGAAAGTCAGATGATAGCCTCCCAATCGTATGTGCAAGAGTCCACGATGAACGACCATGTTTAGGAGAGTATCGAATTAAACACGACTTACTTAAACACGTGTTGTAGGTATTCTTTGTACGCCGTAGTTACTTGGGAGCCTTCACTAGATCCTTTCTCGAAATAGCACTCGAGGTACTCATTTTACGTTCTCATTCAATTGAAAGTCGTTCGTCATTAGCTTGGTGTTTTGGTGGATGCGTTCGAGCTGCTTCCAAATTGTCCTTAGGGCGAGGGAACAGGTACCTTCGTGGAACTTAGCTCAAGACCACCTGCAGTGCGGGGAGGGTACTTATACTCGCACTCAACTATGATTGCTTTCACATTTACGGGTGGATGCTGCGTCAGAATGCTGACTGCAGACGCTTGTTTTGAGGCTTCCGCCGATAAGTACTCTTTACTTCAACAACCAGGGCCAGAAAGCTTTCGCTCGATGCCTATTGGCAAATAAATTGCACTGCTGGGGTCAGGCCACTTGCTTCTGATGCATTTATTTGACTTATTCCCTAGTCATAGCATCGATAGCATCGCAAACATAGTGAGGAAACGAAGCCCTAGATGGTGGTGGTGGTGGTGGTGGT